TGTATATTGTAAGCTGCTTAGAGAGACCTGTTGGGCTATTGTGCAGCATATAAATGAAAACAAACAAACAAACAGATGTTATGCCAATTTAAACATGAAGATGATGTCACAATTGATAGCACTCAACAAAAGGTTCTTTCATGCAACAGCTTCTGCTTACTGTATTTTAGAAAACAGAATGCAGTCAGATACTTTTTATTCTGAATTCCATCTGCTCTGTATAATTTGAAAATCTGGGAAACTGTATACAGCAACCCTTGAAAACATATTTTACCTAGAATGTTGTCAACATAGTAATTCATTGACTTTTTATTAGCTGAGGGGAACTGCTGCTTTGAAACTTTTATGATCTCTTCAGTTCCCATCTTATTCTAGATGTACTTACTCAGTACTCCTTGAACTTTATGACTCTGGTCCAGTTAAAGTTGCAGTATGTTCACAGAAAAGATAAAGTGGGACAAACAGTTCCTTTCATGGAAGCTTGCTGCCTTTTGGGTGAAGTGGAGCAGGAAGAGATGTGTTCCCTTCAGTTTACTCCTGAGTAGGCTGTCACCATCACCTTTGGCTCCAGGACTTCCATTCTCTGCCAGCCAGATGGTCATTCTGTACTGTCAGGGCTGTTGTCAGAGGAAGGCCTGTTGAGGGCCACACCCTGGCAGCAGCCTTCTCATGCCATCACCACGATTGTAGCCTTGCTCATGTGTAATGAGGAGGAGCAGTGGACAACACTGCCTGCTTGCTTCTTGGGCCTCTCTTGTCAAGCAAGCATGCAGTAAAAATAACAAGGAGCAGTAGCAGCTGGACAAAAAGGGTTTCATGAACGATGCCTGCAGTTGCTTTAACTGATCTGCCTGGTGGGAGGATGCATCCAAATGGGCTAGGTTTCCAGTCAAGGCTCTAGACTGGCCAATTTAAGTGTTGATTGACTAGGGTGGGCTCTCTGCACTCAAGGTTCTTTTAGGCCTTAGCCTAAATTGGTCTCTTTTAGGCCTTAGCCTAATATTGGTCTCAAATACACCTGCCACAATATGAATTTCCAAAATATCCAATTCCTAGAGATTTTTCTGAACAGCTCATTTTTCTGCCCTTCCTGAACACCCTGCAGGCCTCTGCATTTTATGGGGAAGCTTAGCTTCTCTAACCCTAATCCTAACCCTAACATGGGGCTTAGTGCCAACACTAATGCGGACCTCAAATAGACCTGACAAAATAAGAATGTCTAAAATGTCCACTTCCTGGAGATTTTCTGCACAGCTCTTACTTTCAACCCTTCCGAAACAGCATGTATGTCTCTACTAGTTGAGCTGAAGGTTAGTTTTTTGAAACCTAACCCTAACTTGGGCTTCAGTGCTAACCCTAATAGCAGGCTCAGATATACCTGCTGCAATAGGGATTTACAAATTGTCCACTTCCTACACATTTTTTCTGCACAGCTCATTCTTTCTACCCTTCCTGAATACGCTGTGGTTCATTACACCATACTGGGAAGGTTAGGCCTAGCCCTAAACTGGGACTTCTCCCTAAACTTAATACATGTCTGAAATATTTTATTTATTTATTTGGAGTGTTTGTATGCCACCCCATTCTCATAAGCCTTGGGGCGGCTTCCAACAAATAAATAACAATATACAAAATATACAGACTTGGAAACATCCCAGAGTTAGATAAAAGCAATAAATAATTTAACAATCAATTAAAATAATATTTAAATAAAAAGGTTGGCCTGGCGCTGAAAAGCAAATAATGACGGCGCTAGGCAGACCTCTCTGGGGAGCACATTCCACAGATGGGTCGCCACCGCAGAGAAGGCCCTCCTCCGGATACTCACCCACCTAATTTCCTTCACGAAGGGTTCCCGGAGAAGGGCCTCTGCCACCGATCTTAGAGGGCAGGAGGGCAAGTATGGACAGAGGCGCTCCTTCAGGTACCCAGGTCCCAAGCCGTTTAGGGCTTTATAGGTAAGCACCAGTACCTTGAATTGGGCCCAGACTTCAATGGGGAGCCAGTGAAGCTGATGAAGGACTGGGGTTATATGAGAACAACACCCAGTCCCCGTCAGCAACCTGGCAGCTCTATTTTGCACCAATTGAAGTATCCGGACCACCTTCAGGGGCAGCCCCACATAGAGTGCGTTGCAGAAGTCTAATTGGGAAGTGACCAATGCATGCATCACTGTCGCCAGGCAATCGTCTTCCAAGTAGGGACACAGCTGATGGATCAGCTGAAGCTGATGGAAAGCGCTCCTCGCCACGGCCAACACTTAAGCTTCCAAGGTCAGCTTCAGGCTGAGGAGCACCCCCAAGCTGTGGACCCTGTCCTTCAGAGGGAGTGCTACCCCATTCAGAACAAGGGTCAGGTCCCCCAGCCCAGAGTCCGAACCACCCACCAACAGGACCTCCGTCTTGTCTGGATTGAGCTTCAGTTTATATATAAATATATACCTGCTGCAATAGGGATTTCCAAAATGACTACTTCCAGGAGATTGTTAGGAACAAATTGGCAATGCAGAAAAATCTCGAGGAACTGGAAACACCTATTGTGGCAGGTGCGTTTGAAGCCTTACTTAGGGGTAGGGCTAAGGCCCAGCTTTTGTTGTTTTTGTTGTTGTTAGTCGCGAAGTCGTGTCCGACCCATCACGACCCCATGGACAACATTCCCCCAGGCCTTCCTGTCCTCCACCATCCCCCGTAGTCCACTTAAGCTCACACCAACTGCTTCAGTGACTCCATCTAGTCACCTCATTCTCTGCCATCCCCTTCTTCTTTTGCCATCTATTGTTCCCAGCATTAGACTCTTCTCCAGGGAGTCCTTCCTTCTCATTAGGTGGCCAAAGTGTTTGAGTTTCATCTTCAGTATCTGGCCTTCTAAAGAGCAGTCAGGGTTGATCTCCTCTAGGACTGACCGGTTTGATCACCCTGCGGTCCAAGGGACTTGCAGGAGTCTCCTCCAGCACTACAATTCAAAGGCCTCAATCTTTCGGCGTTCAGCCTTCCTTATGGTCCAGCTTTCACAGCCATACATTGTAACTGGGAAAACCATAGCCTTGACTATATGCACATTTGTTGGCAGGGTGATGTCTCTGCTTTTTAGTATGCTGTCTAGATTTGCCATTGCTTTCCTCCCCAGGATCAAGCGTCTTAATTTCTTGACTGCAGTCCCCATCTACGGTGATCTTGGAGCCCAGGAAAATAGAATCTGTCACTATCTCCATTTCTTCCCCATCTATTTGCCAGGAAGTGAGAGGACCAGATGCCATGATCTTAGTTTTCCTTTCTTTTTTTATAATAAGTTTTATTCAAAATAACTGTAAAACAAAAGTTAAAACAACATCAATCATCAGAAACATCGGACCTGCTGTGTCAGCCCCCACACACTAATATATTCATTTTAACAAGTGCTATTCTTCCCATCAAAGATAGTTGCAATTTAGCCCATTTTTCCAGGTCACTCTTAATATCCTTCAAAAGTGTATCATAATTGTCTTCTTTCA